TGCCATTTCCTAACAATACCACTTCCCACCGGTATTATATACAAAGCGGTGATTAGAAATAATCAGTCGCATCTAACAATACCAGTTCCCACCGGTATTATATACAAAGAGGTGATTAGAAATAATCGGTCGCATCTAACAATACCAGTTCCCACCGGTATTATATACAAAGAGGTGATTAGAAATAATCGGTCACATCTAACAATACCAATTCCCACCGGTATTATATACAAAGAGGTGATTAGAAATAATCGGTCGCATCTAACAATACCACTTCCCACCGGTATTATATACAAAGCGGTGATTAGAAATAATCAGTCGCATCTAACAATACCAGTTCCCACCGGTATTATATACAAAGAGGTGATTAGAAATAATCGGTCGCATCTAACAATACCAGTTCCCACCGGTATTATATACAAAGAGATGATTAGAAATAATCGTTCGCATCTAACAATACCAGTTCCCACCGGTACTATATACAAAGAGGTGTACTATTTTGCATAGATGAACTAGAACGAACTTTACTGTATGTGTAACAGTGGTCGATGTGTGCAATCAGATAGTATTTGGTTAAAGGTTGCTATTCGATAAGAGGAATATAACGTTTTCCACGTGCATATCGTGAGCTAGCTCTCTATAGATACTCTCATCTCAAGTAGCCTTCATTGGGTCTCTTTACAAACAAGCCCTCCCAGTGGCACAGCGGTATGTCTGCGGACTTACAACTCTAAAAACCGGGTTTCGATACCCGTGATGGCCAGAGCAGAGATAGCCCATTGTGTAGGTTTGTGGTTAACTTCAAACTTTACAAACACACGTTTTAGTTTGGTATGCCTGTGAAATAAAGAATGAATTATCTCTCATCAACTGACCATGAATCACGTGGTTTTGATGTAATTGTAAATAGTACATTTGTTTTCTTCGTTGATGTTAATATATCAAGGTTTTATTTTGGTATGCTCGAGAGTTGTTTTGAAACGGTCTATTTTGGTACACCTTAATTAACTTTTGAAACGTTCTATTCTCGTACAGCTTAATTCAATTTTAAACGTTCTGTTGTACCTTTGGCTTTTTATTTAAGTCTGTTACGGTTAATTCGTCAAATAATCAATAAACTTTGTATTCTGGTCTATTCGTGTATTATTACATATTTTACTATTGTGAATCAATTTATTTCCGTTTTATCCTGGTTCACTCTTGAGTTAACTTAAAAATGTTATATTCGTGGTTAACCAGAATCAAATTATAAACGCTTTTAGTTTGGTATACTCGAGAAGAAATTTTAAAAGTTATTATAAATTCATTTATATACGCTTTATTTTAAGTTAGAAACCTATAAACTGACTATTTTACTCGTTTGATCCCGAGCTATCTTATTCTTTAAATTAAACATATTTTTGTAATAAATAATTGCTAACTGAAAAATTGTAAGAAAGGTGTTTTCCTCTGACTACTAAAATCGATTTAGAATAATTTGTTTTGTAACTACTGAAATAGTAATGGGCTATCATACTTACTCATTTTATAATTTTTCTCTCTGTCTTGTAGGCTATGATCATTTTTATTATTGTTCGTTCCATGGGAAAAATCTTGTAGCCTATTACACAATGTGCTACGTCATTGTGACATCGCGGACGCTGTTGTGGACGCTGTTGACAATAGCGACTTTTTTAGCTATGGTAGCGGCAGTGATTACACCCAGTTGGCTAATTGGGTCACCCAGAAAACCTGGCTTAAGGTCAAGATTTCAGACAGACATGAACAAAGGCGAAATGTATTCTCCAACATTAGGTAAGTTACATCAAAATAAACGAAAATATACACACAGAGAGAAGGAACTGACAATAGATAATTTATTTATCACTAATACGTTACCTTTGCACGTTTGGGGCTCATCTATTGTTAGGTTAAATTCAAAATAGTGTAGTGACGAGGGAAAGGATAGTCATATCTTTTAACATAAATAGACATATTTTTTTCGTAGTATAACAGTGTTTTTGATACTATCTTCTAGATCTAATATTATATATATATAGAATTATTATTTTATTTGTTTTCCTTCTATCTTATTTGGGTAATGTTAAGCGGTGGGAGTTTGATAAAAATGTCGTCAAATAGTATTGCTTTGATTACATTCACTCCTAAGTGGCTTAGCGATAAGTCAAAGTGCTAAAAATCGAGTTTCAATAGTTCCTTGTGTAACTTTGTGCTTAACAACAAAACAAACAAACATTGATTCCATTTTCTTATGAAAACAACTGTATATTTCAAGGTGAATCTGGCTTTATGAGCATTCTTTCACCACGTCAAATCAACAAGTGTTTACTTTTTCAATGAAAAGGTTGCGTTGGATTGACTTTGGGCTTGGTGTTAGAGCCCATTGATGTCCTAAACGTTGTACAAGTTTCCTGCTTCCAATTAAAACAGTTGAAACCACCACCTTCGAAGAATTCTGTCCTTTGGCTCTACATCTTTTAATAATTCCATTATTTAATGTTCTTCTTCGGAATGAGACGTGTCATCCAATTATAAGCACATGGTAACATTGCACTGTTGAATGGTAGGGAATTTACTATGAACCAAATATATAGGTGCTAATTGGTGTAAATTGTGCCAGTTATCCATAAAATCATTGGAGCAATGGTGAAGCAAATTTTATAAAAACTTCTTTTTTCGTTTCCCTACTCTTCCGAGTTATCCCAAAAACTAGACTTCGGTGTTTAACCTGTTTACATCTGTTCCATTACATAACTCTTTAATTATTTGCGATCCTTGGTGATGATACTACGTGAGGAAATTTTATTATTATTATTTAAAACTATATAAAATACATCTCTTGGGACCTACCAGTCAGGGCGTTGAGATATGGTTTAGGAATAATGAATTATGCAGTGAAAAAAGCATATTAATTAATTATATAGTTTGTTCTGTGCTGTCGTGATTAGTCGAAGAGTTTTTATGCGCTTGTTGTTATCAATGAGAGGTCAGTGTTTAGCAGCGGCATAGCGACTCATAGGATGGCCTTGAGGTTTTCAAATACAAACTTTTAGCTCATTGTACCGTCATCTCTTGACCGATTTGAGATCTAATTACAGTTTTGGACTCGGTAGATTAAATCCTTTCGATTTATATATTTGGCCACGCCCACGGTCTCATACATTAATTTACTGTAATTTTTCCTAAGAGGATTTCAATTTGAAGGTAGGCTGGTATAGATTCTGATGAATAATAAAATCGAATCGGGTATATGCGCACCCTACACTTGGTATTGCTGGCGTACAAAAATAAAATAATAAAAAGGAAAAAAGGTCCCTTAAAATTAATTTACTTTAATCCTGCATAAAAGAATTTCAAGTACCGCGGCTATTGAGGCTTCTCTCTTGTTAGATCCTGAATTTGTTGCCTATTGTGAATGGCTCTTTGTCGGATATATTTCGACTCTTCTTTACACGCTTAGAAAGGATATTCAGAAAGAAACGAAAGTTACTGTTTCCATACGCTGGATTATATTAAACAGCGTGTCATGAATAGGTCAACAACATCCATCCGTTGCTGGATGATGTTCTTCTGCAACATGATACCATTTTAAATTATAATAAATAATTAAAAATAACATTTTGTATTTACACAATAAAAAGTTTATTGAAGCCGTACGGCTTCCACTTTAAAAAAGGAATATCACTCTACACGTACATGTTTTGACGTGATCTACATCATCCTCAGGAGTAAGTTACAATACTATTTTATACTTTATCCTTGTCGCATTATTTCATTGTTATTTGCATATTTCCTTGGTGTAATAAAAAAACATTTATAATACTTCTCACCATATGTCAACCTATTGACTTGCTTGTCATTCGTCTCTATTTAATACTTGTTTTGTTTTTATATTTTATCATTTCTAATGTTTCTCTAATATTTAATAATATAAAACTTCGAGGCTACGCTAAGATTAAAGTTTTCCCCCATAATATTGTATGTTGGGTAGTTTTTACATGTTCGTCTATAGCTGACATTTTTATTTTATTTCTTATGTAACTTTATTGTTCTTGCAATCTATATTTTAAATTTTTTTTAGTTTGACCAATATAAACACTACCACATTTACATTCTATCTTGTATATACCTGTCTTATCTGTTAATTCTGTTTTGTCTGGACCAGCAAGTCACTACGTTGATATATGGCGAGATATATTATAATTTATTATTATTATTATTACACCAAGGAAATATGCAAATAACAATGAAGTTATGCGCCAAGGGAAAAGTATAAAATAGTCTTGTAAGTTACACCTGAGGATGACGTAGAACGAGCAGTTTGGGGGAATGGTATTATCATATGCATTACCAGCACTTATGTTTAAAATTTTAAATTATAATAAATAATTAAAAATAACGTTTTGTATTTACACAATAAAAACTTTATTGAAGCCGTACGGCTTCTACTTTAAAAAAGAAACATCACTCTACAAGTACATGTTTCGACGTGATAGGGGTTATGTGTAGCTACGAATCACTTCTCAAGGTGATCATTGTTAAATACGATTCAATTCTTCTACCACTTCTTCATACCAGTTTGGTAAAATGCAGAGGTGGAATCACGAACCCAATTGCTTTAATAACATCAGTTGCCTGAAAGCATTGCCTATGATTGAGAGGACACAAGTATAGGACATTAACAGAGTGCTTGCTATATGTGGGAGGGAAAGAAGTGGTCACCCAAACTTCTCTTTTGCAGTCGTTAGATAACGAGCAGTTTGGGGGAATGGTATTATCATATGCATTACCAGCACTTATCTTCATATTTTAAATAGCTTCTCTACTGAATAATTCACAAGAATAAATTAGTATATAAATGCTATATATTCTTGAAATCCCATATAAACACAAGTCCACTATAGCGAGTAAAAGACAATTCAAATCACCATATATTTCTGTTATGTTGAAGTTTTATGTATCCTCCAGTAACCAAAGTATGACTGGCAACTCAAGATATCCTAAAAAAGGGTGTTCAAAAATAAACAGGATTTTATTTCCTGTAGAACAACCATATTGGATTACGACCAACAAATGTACATTGAAGATGAATGCTACTAATTTATTTTTGTAGATAAAATCGAATTACAGATTGGGAGTGGGACGTTTTCTTGAAATCCTATATAAATATCAGTCCACCGTGGCGAATTAAAGACAACTCAAAACACTATTCATATAATGTAAACTCCACTAGTATATGAAACCTAGTCTTGTTCTTTCGATTTGCCCTGCCCGGGGTTATCGATGAGGGGTGAAATTCACCCCAAACCGGTATAACTCAGTGACATGTGGTTAATCGAATGATAGATTGGGCTTCTTATTTATTTATAGTAGCAATGCGTTGTACCAACCATTATGTGGCTGTCTGCTAAAATAAGTGACTTGAAAGTGATATTCCGATAGAATTTTGTGATCATTAGGCTAAAGTAATCGTCAAGTCATCTCGGATCTCAGTCTTTCTTATCCTCTTTTCATCTTGTTCTTTTATCTTATTATTAATTACAAATGTCTGGTAGAAGAGAAGATATACTAATTGGGATAGATATTCGTTGCCTTTAAGTTGGTTTATGTATCCCAGTTTTTAGTTTGTTTATGACGTAAACATCAACTAACTTTTTTTTTTTTTCAGGTATATATAACCGTTGCACCAAGCTTCACAAAGTGGATCAGCTATTCACTGATAGCTGTGCACCATTTGTAACAAGCTTCGGGATGCCTTCGAATGAGTTTCCCAACTTTTGGAAAGCAGCACTGGTGTTTTTTGCCTTTGGAATAGCATTAATAGTGCTCACAGTGTTTACATCAGTGCTGGGATGTTGCATTCGTAGTATTGTGAAGAAGAGCATTTTCACCATTTCGGGAACAATACAGGCTATTGCAGGTACAATATGTTAAATATCTGTTTGTATGTTTAAGAAAAATAATGTAAGAATAGTTAGTCTAGGTTGTTGTATGTTTACTCTTTAATTTGATTTTGTAGAACCTTAAAATGAAATTTGGTATCCTCGATATATTATGATGAACTGTTTACAAGTTGGACAAGTTTACAGTTATTAAATATAATATTTTATATTTTCAATCTAAACGGCACTTTATGCGACATATGAGCAAAACGGCCAGGTCAGAGATCCCAAATTTCAACACTTATCACCCCAAATTCAGAACTGCTGAGCAGAGGGAGAAAACCCAATATTAGAAGAGCCCGCAGCCTTTACAGCTACTTTTAACTAAATAGCAGGATTGACTGTCACAGCTATAACACTTCTATAGCTGAAAGTCCCAAGCGTTTTCAATGGCAAATTTTTGCTCAAATCTTGAACTTTCCAATCCTTAGCCTGTATGCTATCCTCTAGGCCACGTCCATCCCAAACTGAAAAAGCTATCTTAAAACAATTAAGTAAAAATGATTACTAATTTGTTTTAGTGTGTACTTTCATTACACAGTTTGTGTTAAATTCTTCTGGTTTTTATCACCTCGTTCTTTGTTGTTGTTTTTTTTTGGTTAAAATGTTTTTCTCGACCAATAATAAGCAACACAAGAAGCACTAATTCGGATTTCATCTCTTTTATTGTTTCCAAGCAAAATACAGATAAAGGACAGACTATTCTTAATTATATGTTTATATTGATAGTTTGTCTTGTTACCTTTCGAATTAATTTAATAATCAAGAATGTTTTAAAGTTAATAAACTTAGTGTTGGTATTACTGGCAACATAGTTCGTGAAATTTTGAACAAAGTTTCCACCCCTCACTTTATACAGTTTCCTTTTTCTACGAAACCTAGTTTAGTAGGCTTATCATATACAGAATAATATTTATGAAGAGCAAGATCGATGCTATGCACAATGTACCTACAGATATAATTAAATCAAATATATATTGAATATTGATTTTATTAACTTTGCGTATTTATGTACAATTTGGTAGTTACAAAGTACTAGATATTGGGTTAAATTGTGTTTGTTCTGGTTACTTGCAGTTAGTGCAGTTTTTCTCAACCGATGGGTCGTGGCCCACCGGTGGATCGGAAAGCAATTTGAGATGGGCCGCGAAAAGGCTTAAGATTAGATGACAATATTTTTTTTAAATGTTGCAAAGTTACAAAGGTATAATGCAAACTGTATAATACCTCGCAAGTTGTTATATATGAATTAATTAACAGTTTAACAAATTGTCGTGTAATTTACACACATTTTTTCTCCTTTTTTTGCCGAAATTAGGGTTTATTGTTTTATTGAAAACGGGCGAAAAACGAACATCAGTTGATTTTCTGTGAAAGCAGTAGGACTGGCAACATCGCGTGAAATGCGCACCGCATCACGTGTCACCCATTGTCACGCGCACGAACCCAGCCAGCATAGAAACTGTGAAAAAACATTGCCATACGTATCATACTTCTATAATTTTCTGCGGTAGGCTGTAGTAAATTTTTTGAAGATTAGTTGAGCCGTTTTACTAAAAAGGTTAAGAAACGCCGTGTTAGAGGGTTAACTTGTATTTCTTTCACAGATGGTACTGGTGGTTACAGGTCTAAAGATATCATTTCACACCTGCTGCTTTATTGATATATCTATTGAGTGTGAGCTATGACAGGAGACTGGTTACTTTCTGAATGTCCGAGACTTTAATGCATTATTTTACGTTGTTCCCCGCTCATTCTCTGCTAGAGACCTTAAACTGAAAAGTAATTTAAGGCGCAGTCGAAAATATCGCAAACACTGATGTATCAAACGAATTAAACTTGATAGTTATAAATCTCATATATATTCTTTAACGATTATTTATTAATTTTAAATTTTAATGTAAGTTTTTCAAAGTGTGTTGTAACAACTGAATCTGATTATCTGGTTAACTTGTGTCATTGAATTATCTTTATGAAAATGTGTATTTCATTTTGTATTTAACTTTTAGCTTTTTTTATGTTAAGAAGTTATTCATAGCTGTCTCCCCTGGTTAAGTTTATTGACTTGCAATGTTAAAATATGGGATGAGTTTCCCCCCAGTGGACAAAACGCAAATATCCATTTACGTAGCTTGGCGTTAAAAATAGAAACTTACACATTATTGATAGTTAGGCTTACCAAAACAGGTCAAGATTAGTGAGGCGACTATGTATATTTGTCACTAATATCTTTAAACGATTTTTGACAGTCTTGCATTAACCACATTTGCTATGATAGCCCAAAATAGGTCAAGAATAGTAAGACGACTATGTATATTTGTCAGTAATACCTTTAAAAGCTTTTTTTGACAGTCTTACATTAACGATATTTGCTATGATAGCCCAAAAGAGTACATATTTTTTATTTTAAAAATTTCAACAGAAAACGATTATTTCTAAGAGTGACATGTTCGCTTAATGTAAAACAAAACGCAATTTATAAAAGGAAGAGTTTCATCTGTTACTTCAGCTATGTATATATTGACATCGGCGTTTGGATTTTGTCCGTTATGACAATAAGTTGACAAGCTGGACCGATAACGGTAATGCAGTATATATAACCACCACTTCCAGTCTCCATCAACCTGGTTATTGATATTTTAAAATTGACCTGATTATAATCACTTTAAAGTAATTCTGTTTTGGAATTCTATATTACTGCCTACAAATTCAGTTGTTGTTAGAACCAATTCCCAAACATAAACACGATATATACATATATAGAGATTAACTTCTTCTCACAAACGGATTCTGTATATCTTCCTTTCTATTGACATTTTTAAAGGCGAATTAGCTGTTCTAGACTGTGTGTGTTTGTAACAGATAGCGATTAAAGTAAAATTAAATATGATGAACAAATCTTTTGGAAAAAGGTTCCACCACTTTGTACATCTGAGTAAACATATGTTTATGAAATAATTTAAACTTTTTACCTTCTATTTCAAGCATTTCAACATCTTATTTTAATCAAAACAAATATAACTGAAACCATATCTACTTCAAACCGAATCTTTGTATTTCTTCATGTTTTAATTCTACTGTAAATAGGTTTCTCGAAGTTTAAATGGGGTTTTGTCTTTAAAAAGCTTATTAGCAATATATCACCATGTGATCAACAACCTAAATGGGGTTTTGTCTTTAAAAAGCTTATTAGCAATATATCACCATGTGATCAACAACCTAAATGGGGTTTTGTCTTTAAAAAGCTTATTAGCAATATATCACCATGTGATCAACAACCTAGAAAAAACAACTTAAAATTATACAGAAGCAAGTAGCATTCTTTATCGAAATTATTTTAAGTGTGTTCTATGTGTTCTCCTTCTTATTCTTTTTTTTTGGGGGGGGAACCGACCGGTAGCACCAAACGCCAACTCTTGGGATATCCTTTACCAACAAATAGTGGGACTGACTGTCATATTATAACGCTTCCATTGATAAAAAGACAAGCATGTTGGAACCGGGTTTCGATCCCGCGACACGTAGGTTGCAAGTCGAACACCTTAACCTCCAACCCGCCCCATGCCTCACCTATTGTTGGCAGTTCAAAATTAAGTACAGCTGCAGATGACTTTAGTTGTTTTGCCGTAAACTCATTCGTTCCTTGTTTTGTACAAAACACCATACTTCGTAAAAATATATATATATACTTCTTTTAATATGGTCCCCCGGTGAGTTTACGGACTTATAACTCTAAAATATGGGGTTCGATTCCCCACGTTTGACACAGCAGATAGCCCAATGTAATTTTGTTCTAGAACAAACAAACTTTTAATGCGGTTTTGTAAAATACAAAGGAAAACGAGGAAGCGTTAACAACCGTTCTTTTTAAAATTCACAGACTATGACAATCAAAGAAGAACATTGATGTTGAATTGTGTATTCATACTAAATGTAATACTTTATGCTTATCCAAGTTAACCAAACGAATTAGGGTTAACGTAAAATATTTCAAAATCAGCTGTATTTATTGGAGTTGTAATGTAGCAAAGGACAGTTGATCTGCACTTTGTGGCAAATAAACACAAATTAACAGAAAAGTAACAGAAAAAATAATAATCATTCACCATGTACATTTTAAAGAGTTTGACATTTGTAATTAACTGTTATTAAAAACTTACGTCTGTATATTTATTCCAAAACTTATTTTGTGCCAGCCCTGCGTAGGGTAATTCTGTAAACACGGGGATAACCATACAACCAACAATAGAGGCGGTGGGATAACCATACAACCAACAGTTTTGCCAGTGCATACTGCTGTATTAAAGAATAAGCGGAACCCATTTATGGAAAAACAACCATATATGATCGTAGGTAACCATGCAAGATGACCTTGAAACCGTATTTGCATATAACGTGACGTAATTAAGAATTGCTCATAAAAGTTTAGGTTTGATATAAAAGCTTATTTATTACACTATTCTTAAGGTATAGTACAATATACTGTGTTTCAAGTTCGAGTTACATCTCTTATTTTACATACATGTGTTTCGATTATGTTTTTGTACACGTGTACCAGCTGGCAAAACTTTGGGTTGTATGGTTCTCTCACCACCTATACTTTATTTTGTGCCAGCATTGTATATTCTATATAGTAATAACGTTGTAAAGGCTTTATAAATATTATTCGAATACTAGTCTTTATGACGTGTTTAAAGCATCAAACCTCATGGAAAGTTTCAAGTTCCACATTTTGATAAATCTTATAATTTACTTTAAGAACTCTTATCACACTAGAGTTCAAGTATCTAAATTAATTTGTAGTATGCTTATCGTCACGTGTAAAATGTACTTTATATTTATACACCCATAACTCTGTTTCTAATTTCAGAGTAGAGAAATGATGTTTGTTGTTGTACCAATGTGCTAGGAACAAACCATCCAGCATATATTTACATAATGTTGACGTTTACCAAGAAATATTTTCATAGTTTAAAGAATAAATGTTTGAATAACTTTTCTGAGGCGGATAAGTCAGTAAGAATAATAATAAAAAAACCTGCTTTTTTTAATATATATTTTTGTTGAATTCACTATGAAACTTTTGTAAGGAGGAGGAGAATACAAATTATGCCTGTAATCTGTAATCGACAAATAATTCAATACGTATTTCAAATGTTTATTTTTTCTAACAATGCTTAAAACATATTTTAAATTGTATCAAAAAAAATATAATACTTGTTTCAAACAGCATTGAAAATATCATTATTGTATATTATCTTTTAATTCGAAGTATCTCTGAAGTACGAAAAATATTTTACTTGTATGAATAACTTTTATAGCTTTAATATCAAGACATTTGTTTACGATGTCTGTGTATTTTCGTCTTTAGATCAATATAAAAAAGTGCTGTATTTTAAGCCACGTGACATTTTCGTGACATTTAATATCAAGGCATTTGTTTACGATGTCTGTGTATTTTCGTCTTTAGATCAATATAAAAAAGTGCTGTATTTTAAGCCACGTGACATTTTCGTTTTAATTATTCCCTTCCCAGGCCTCTTATTCATCCTGGGGCTAGTTCTTTATCCGGCCGGTTGGGGTAGTACACGTGTCCAGCTTGTCTGTGGAGAAAATTCACATCCGTTTTTGTTGGGAGATTGTAGACTGGGTATGTCATAGTAGTTGCTTTGAACGATTTTTCGCGCTGACATGTGGTTCTGTTTGTCATTAAATTCTAAATCTTTTTAAGAAGATTTTTGATTCTTCGTTACTTGTGATAGTGTTTAGAAAATTCAATGCAAATGACTTAATAATTCCAATATTTTTAAATCTTATTAAATATATGCGTTGCCATAGCAAACTTTTCAAAAGTATTTGCTTTGTTTAATATGAATACATATCTGTTATCTTTTACATGAAGTTTGACTATAACACTTTTAAGAGTACGCAACATGAGGAAAACTTTTACACCAAGATTTTTCCGAAATCTACATACTTTTAAAGCTTTGGATAAAATTCTATATCGATTTAGCTTGGTTGATTAGAGGTGATTTAGCTCAGAACTGAAATATTTATCTGACAGTGGTATGGGATTTAATATCCGGTATAAGCGTGTATTTGTTGTGTTACAATGAAAGAAAATTACTAATTCTCGTCAAATCATAAACACAAGCACGACTCTTACAGATAAAGTTGTGTTTATCCATTATGTATCTTAGAAATATGCAAATATATAACTTTGTGTAAGTTAAATTTTACTTTTTTTAACCTTTTTTTTTCAATCATTTGCAGGATGGGCATTTTATCTGGCCATTGGAAGCACGATCATGACCTGCGTCTGTTCTGTTTTATCAATTCAGGCAGAAGTTTCCACGTCTTCTGACAAAGTACAGGACGAGATCCTTGAAGGAAAGAACTTGATTTGTGTGTTATAGTATGCTACAATGTTTGTCTCTTTTGTTTGCTTATGTGGTTAATGAAAATGTTCAATGAATTAAACGTGTGATAAGTGGTGGCAGGTGGCAATATATATCGGTGGAAAATGATAATTTAGACAAAACATTTAACTGTTAAATAACAATAATTTTGTGTTCATATTATGTCGGTTAGTTTAATTATAAACTAATTATTGTATTTGGTATACGGAATAAATAAATGGTAACAAGGGTGTTCGAGGTGGAAACAGTATTCAAATATTTTAAAGTTTAATCTTTGTAATGTTTTTGATTAATAGTTTGAAATTAATACTTTAAAGATAGCGTTACATTATCTATAATAGATTCCACGTTCTATTTACGTTCTTTTGTATATTGGGTATCTCGTCGATATTAACATCTCGTGAATTGTTGGAATGCTAAATCAAGAAATATATTTCTGTCTGAAATGGAAATTTAGAATATATACATGCACGTGTGTTTAAAACCAAAACCAAAACAAAAGGCTTTTAAATTGTGTTTTTCTAACTTGTTTTATGTCACCGAGTGTGATTTGATGAAGCATTATTATCTTCATCTCATTTTCTGAAGTATGCTATTCATTTGAATAGAACAAACATATATTTCATATTAGAAAATACTTTATATGGTGGCTTAAACTGTGTGGAATTTCTGATGTTAAAAAAAAAAAAGTTCTTCGCTTTGCGTATATTGTTTCTGAAATTCCTGAAGGCAAACAAATGTACTCTGTGTAATACATGCAACTGTATCCCATATAAAAAAAAAAATATTTGTTTTTTTTTTGTATTTATATGAAGCTGTAAATGATAAAGATACCTATTATCGAAAGATAACTAAAATAGTTAAGTTAATTGGATAATAAATAATATTCTAATCAAATACTGTTTAAAAAGGACATATATATGTACTCATACCGTCTAATAATATACAGTCTATACATATTTTTGCACAGATTTTCACATTTTATTTAAAACCAGACGTATCCTGGTAAGTCGGTGGTAGTTTTACGAATTAAAAACGCTAAAATTTGAGATTCGACTCCTCTGGTGGACAGAGCGCAGTTAGCTCACTGTGTAGCTTTGCGCTGAAACACACGAACTAACATAGACTTCACAGAAGGTATAACAGTCCATCATCGTAATTAAAGATTAGAATCCTACTACAATAAATAAAAAATCTTGAAGCGTCCGAGTTTACCAGTCGATCTGGGAACGACTGGAATTGCAGGCTAATCTTTTTAAAATCTTCCTTTTTTAATTTGTGTTATTATATGACTGTAGACTGAGTTGCTTTGTAGATCATTGAATTGTGATTTTGAAGTCACAAGACACATCCGTTATGTAAACCACGGTAGCTAAAGCATATGCAAAAACTAATCTCTAAGTATGTCTACACTCCAGTTAAAAACATGTTTAGTGTTCCCTAGTATAGTTAAAAATAACATCGTCCTTATCATTAGATGTTGGTCACGCTTTTTACGTATTTTAATGGTAGAAGCAAAGAACATATTGTTTTATAAATGTCTTAATTTCTAAATAACATAATTTAATTCGTTCGTTTAATAGTTTCTTGTGGGACTTTTTTTTTCCATTGTCGTTCAGAATTGTGTTTGTAAGTAGTTTATTCATATAAGCTCCTTGATAATGGGCATCGGAGGCTTATCGACATCAGTTTTTTTGTTTTTTTCTTATTTCTGTAACTTGTTTGTATGTGTAAAACAACACATTTCAGACAAGTTGGTGTGGTTTAAAAACACAATAGGACTTCTTTTCAACTCTGTCACAGAATCTTGGTTCTAACATTTTTAAGGCCGGGCTGTGTATCTGAGGGTCCATGGTTTGCGTCTTGCTACCACACACACACACACTCAAACTGCGCTCCACACTTGGATTACAGTAGCCAATAAACTGGAGGTGGGTGATGTTGAGTAAATGCCTTTTCTCTAGTCTATCAGCTCCAAATTGGGAACGGCTAGTGCTGATAGCCCTTGTGTAACATTGTGTGAATATATGAAACATTTAATCAATCTAGCCTTTCAAGTACTTTATTTTATTTGTTGCAGGTAGCTTTAGTCCTTTTTAGGCGTGAAACTACGCCAAGGGTTATATGCGTTGCTCCCACCACGGGAATCGATCCTAGATGTTTAAGGTTATAAGCCTTCAAGCTTACAGCTGAGACTCCCAGGAGTTGCAGTCCAATGACCTTGCGCTCCACACAAAAGTTTATTAGTTACCTTATGGCTAACTGTGTTACAACATTCAAGTGCTGAAATTTGAATAATTAAAAGAACTTTCAACAACAGCAACAAAAAAGTACAGTTGAAACGTTAATAAAAGTCCCTTATTTTGAGTACACCTGTAATGGTCAATTAAACGTTAAAGGTTAAAATCATTAAAAAGCTTACGTGTTCTGTTAACATACAATTCAGTTTTAAAGGTTTCATTTCTCCACCAGTTCGACCTTATACGTGCCATAATTTGATTAATACTTTTCATTATAAATTTTAAACAAAGTTTTTGTGATTTCATCAGCAAGATGTATTTTATTATACAATCGTATATATACGTGACTTAAGGCGAATGTTACATAATCCTATAGTAGGAAGACATTAAAATGATAAGGCAGAGAATGACAAAAAAATAATTTTACAGTGAGCTTAATAATATTTGCTTATAATTAGTAGTCTTACAGGAAAATACTAAAATCAACTTTGAAACATGTCACAGCAGCAGTAATTAATGAAATTACTATAATTAAAAAAAAACTGCAGTGTAAAATACAAATATATATATGATTAGATAAACAACAGACTATTTCTTTAGTACATACTGATATTTATTATGATAAACGTGTTCTAGATGGGGATCATAAAGATAATTCTCAGCTTCTAGATTATTGTAAAGTTTCCTTTCCTTTGATCCTTGATCTACTGACATCAGTAATTGGTCAAATGGTCTTTGCATGACTTTCAATCATTCTATAAAAGTTGCTACAGTTCTAAGGCTTCGTAACGGAATCTAATTAATAAAACATAAACCTCGGTCACCTTCATTAGCCAGGCGGGAGATGATATGGTTTTATACATAACTAGCTGGAGTTCGGTCCCCTGGGCGGAAGTAAATTCATGATTAATGAAAGGTTATCTTAGGACATGAAAAGTTGCTTCCCTTATAGAAAATTGTAAAACACGCCCATGAAAACTGCAAAACATAAAATGTG